CATGACATGTACTTAGTTCATATATAGGTATGACGTACATACAAGTGCTTATATTTACATAGCAACAACATTTATAAAAATACCCAATGTTCACATTGACCAACAACCCAACATTGGCAATGATCAATGTTGGGTTGTGTTCCACAATAAACCACCAACCCATACAGGTCGCTCATAATCGGGTAAGATGAAGAAGATGTCCACATTTATGGGGTCCGAACATATCACTTTTAGTGTAGCATGATGATCACCCATGGAAATTTCATTTATCTTCTCAAGCTCGTCATTTACTTTCCTACAAGCATCAGTGACATCATGCATATAGCCAACTCAGTGTGCTATCAAATCCAATTGCTTACGACTCTCATTGACATATTCACCAAACACCCATGATATGTCGCCCAAACTCTTTGCTATTGATTTAGAAACATTACCACTCACCTTTTCTTTCCTCTTTTTACTGTTGGATGGTGTTCCAACACTAGGCTCATTAGCTACCGTTTGGTTACAAACAGGTGTTGCACTATGTGAAGCAGGTATGTCACGACCTACCTGTTCTTCCCCAGCCATGTTATCTGCCTCACGCATTGAGGCCTCAACCTCAACATCTCTTACCATCTCTTCCAAATCCACTGCAAATTCACCTATAGCCCGATCCTTCCTGAAGATGATCCCTCAATCATTGAAATAAGGCCATGCTTTCTCACGCATGCCCTTTGCATTTCTATCCTTCTACAAACATAAACGAATGTAATCAAAGTTAAAGACATATACAATATGTGTTCCATAACTAGAAAAACAAGTATATTGTATTTACGTCTACACTGTACCTGCATATAATCTTGCTATATATCGTCACCATCCACCAAGATCCTATTCTTTGTACTATTGAATCCAAACCCCGAAGTAGCCATCATTGTGAAGAGTGAGTTATAATTTTTCTTCCACATCTTCAACTTAGATTCAATATGAGGCAATGCACGCAACTCATGCCCTGGAATTGCAGCTTTCAAACTACTTTCTAGTTGTTGGAGATATCCTGGCCTAAAAGTGTCGTTCCAACACTTCCACCCATTCACACATAAATCCTTAATTGCTACAAGAAGTTAATTTTCCTCTACAATTGTCCACATCCTACGTGCACCCCTCTCACTTTGGATACTTGCATGTGTCTCAGACATGTTCTATAATCATTTTGAATATTAAAAATGATAAAAAAAATTGCAACTATAGTACTAATTGTTTTGGGCCACATATATGGTAACAAAGTTAAGTTCAAATAAAAGATGGACACATTAATTTATAAAGGCCAACATACGTTATACACATAATACATGTACATAAAAGATAACAATGTGCATTTAACAAGATAGAACACATTGAAACATTGTATATTGAAAGTTTAAAGACCACATGTATCCTCAAACTATTGGTTGCCCCCGATTACTTATCCACTCATTGTACATATCCAATGTCATTTGATTGCGAAACACAGACCATTCAGTAGATGTCTCAACACTGTCTATGACATCATTCGCCGCTTCAATGTCAACAGGCATATCTTCGAGCAAGTTCTCCTCATTGGGGTCAACACTCATTTCATTCCTAATTAAGTTATGCAACAAACAACATGTAGCTATTATGCGATTATGAGTGCGCACAGGGTAGTAGTAAGGTGCCCTAAGAATTATCTATCGATTCTATAGCAGTGCAAAACATCGTTCAATGCATGTCTTTGCTGCAGAGTGTCTGAGGTTAAACAATTCTTCTGCATTTTGAGGTGCGGCTGCACCAGCCCCAAACTATTGAATATGATAACGTTGACCCCTGAATGGTTGCTAAAAAACTCTCCCCATTGTATAACTGACATCAACTAGATAGTACGTTCCTGTGTGGTATAAGAAGTTTTACATTACAACTACCCAACAACCAACAATAACCTATATATAGAAGCTTACAAATCTTCTTCAAAATAATAGCAATATGACTTACCCCCCGTGCAACCTTCAAGCCATTAGGCGTAACAACATCACGTAAAATCCTAGAATCGACTGTTGACCCTTTCCAACCAAGTAGCACGTAAATAAATTTCATGTCTGGAGAACAAACACCTAACACGTTTGTCGCTATTCCACCTCTACGTGTTCTATATTTAGCTTGGTAGACTAGAGAGACTCGGGCAGGAACATAAGTCCCATCTAATGCACCCACACAATTCTACAAAGGAAAACAATAAAAATATTATCCCACTACTGGGTCTAATATAACTTTAGTAACAATATTGAAAATATAGAAAATATTGAGTATTTTATCAGACAACACTTACCTTAAACCACTTCCACTTAGAGTCATTATTGTTGTCTAGAACTGGTTCTGGTGACTTTAGCAAATTCTGACGCAGCCTCAACACGGCAGTTAGAACCTTGTTGAAATGAGGACTAATGGTTTCTCCCGATCGAAGGAAATTGAACTTAACTGGCCTATTTTTGTCATCATGAACTAAAATATTTAGAAACATGGCAACTATCTCCTCAATACTGATATTCCTAGTTGAAGTTAGTCCACCAACATCACAAACCATATTACATAATACAACAAATGTGCGTCTGTCCATCCTTATTTGACTAATACAAGTTGTGTCACTCTCGCCAATGAGACGGTGTAAGTGTTCATTTTGTAACCAACTCCTATGTAAAAGTCATGGGATCTCACATTTCGTACAAATGTTTTCCATTTCCCATATCATCACCATTAGGGACACCATAAGATTTAAAAAAATTACCATCTCTCGAATATTCCTATTCAAAATGGTAAGGAAAATACATAGTTCATCGCTATGGCTGTCCATGTTTACCTAATTCATAAAAACAAAATAAAACAATACAAAATAGTTATCACTGATCTAGTGTGAACGAAAATGTTGTAATTCAAGTACCAATACACACCACATTGTATAAATCAAAATGAGATAAAAAAAATTGCATGCCATATGAAAGCAAATAGCCATCTGACGGTAAAAGGGGGGGGTTTTGGTAAAAAATATCACATTCCTCCATAACATAAATCAAATACCTTCTACCAAACAAATAAATTGAAAAGTATGTAAAAAAAAACAATGAAAATGGGCATATTTACGCCATGGTTGACGGGAAAATAGGAAAATACCTCAGTGATGGAGTGGACGTCGATTAGGTAATTAGAAATACCTACAAAAATTTCAAAATATTTTTGATTTCGTGTCTTGAAATAATAACAGTAACACATAACCCAAATGTAAAGAAGAGTGGTATATGTATATTTTAAGTTATGGAAGAAGGAGGATAAGTTATGGAAGTGGTATATGTCTTTTAAGTTATGGAAGTGATATATGTATTTTAAGTTATCCAACTCGGTATATGTATTTTAAGTTATGGAAGTGGTATATGTATTTTAAGAGGGAAAAAATGCATGATTGTTACATAATAAAGAAATGAAAACAATCCTAATCCTGTTGATCCTAAATTGGAAATATGCATGATTGTCAAAAATAGCCACGTAGATATAGCAGTGGTTCCTATGCCATTTTCTCTCCTCTCTCTTCTCTAGTTTTCTCCTTCGGGTCTCTCTCTGAATCAAACCCCCACTATTTACTCACACAATTTTCACTGATAAGCAGACAAATGCATACATACACACTGCAATTAGATAGAATTTAGTGAAAGCAAAGGGCGGGTTACCACGCACTCCACAGTTCCGAAACCTCAGTGTAAAATTGATTCAGAAAGCAAGAAGCATTAAAATTGGCTACCGGGGATGCTACAACCACATTAAAATTGCAGGATGAAAATGGATTCATAAAGCAAGAAGCATTTACAATTTATAACTCTTCTAGTGTTGAGGTCTCAAGAAAGATCAACTTTCTTTCGTATTTGCTGGGCCAAATATACGCAAGGTAGACTTGTCACAGATTATGTATCATTAATGAAATCCTTTTACCTCATGCACCAGTCTGCTTTTACCTCTTGCATAATGGGATTTAAAACCAAGTCGTAGAACATCCAATGATTTTTTTGATACAACATCCTACCCGAGAGTGAATGCAATCAAGACAAAGAATTCAGTCTTTAACTTAATCTCCAAATTCCATAATGTAGAACGTGTCAACGAAGAGCAATTTTGGAATCCCGAATGTACGAAGCTTAAACATTAGTCATGAAGCAATTTCACAGTTCATTCCCCTCAACCCAGCAAACGAAAAAATTCCCAACAACCCTCAACCTAGCCAACGAAAAAAATCCCAATAGCCCTCAACCCAGTAACTTTGTAGACATTATCCATGGAGGAAGAGAAGAAGAGAAAGAGACAGAGCACTTGCTCTAGAACGGGCCCTTCTCTACAGTTAAAACGAAAAAAAAAATTAGGCAATTTTAATTTTTCTTCTTGGAAGCATCTACTGCTTCATGCCAAAAGACCACCTTAAAGTATGTAACTAATGCATAAACAAATACAAAGGCAACAGATATAGAGACGATGGAGATAAGAGAGAGAGAGAGATTTGTTACCTTTGGGTGAAGAAGGGAACAGGAGGCGACTTTGACGAAGTGAAGGGACCAGCTGAAAGAGGAAAGAAAGGGATAAAAACCCTACCTAACTTTACTGTTTAATGACAATTTAGTCATTTTATTCCTTATCCAGCCGATGGGCTTCTGAATCCCAAACTCCACATGGGTTTCATGTATCTGGATCATTCTGGATATCTCCCCTATTTCATACGGCCCGAGTATTTGGAGCCCAACGAAAATCTAATCCAGAATGCCTAACCCAAAGTTGGGATATGTGCGCCTCTGGTTAATTTTATCCAATTCTTATTGTGATATCCACTTTTATCCTTCAAAACAAACACACTTGTAGTGTTTAACTGAATAATTGTGGAGGGCATGAATCAGGACAAAACTAGAAGGAACAGATGCAATTTTAGAAACAAAAAACGATGTGAGTGCAATTATCAGAAATCCTGTTGCTGCCGCCCTCAATAACTTCACGAAGTCGTTTATTATTTCCACTGCACCACCCAGACCAGAGTCATACAGAGCTCCTCTCTCTCTCTCTCTCTCTCTCGCCGCCCAACACCCACCTCTATTCTGTCCCCATTCACACCATACTAGTCGGCAATTCTCCAGATTTTCTCTCAGATCCAATTTTTCCCAGAAGCAAACCATCGAATTTCCCGAGAAACAAATAAAACACACACAGACACACAAAAATGTCACAGAGTGATACTATTCCCCTCCACCCCTCTTCCCAATCCGACATCGACGAGATCGAAAATCTCATCAACTCCGGCCCATCAACGGTCCTCCCGGCCCGCCCACCAAGCCCACCAAGAGCTCAGATCCCCATCTCCTCCTCTCCTTTTATCCCTTCCAATCTCCCCCTACCACCACCCACTCAAAAATCGCCACCTGTGCCTTCTGTCACGGCCCCACCGCCTCCATTGCCTACAGCCCGTAATGGGTCTTCGAATATTGGTTCAACGGGCTTTGGCCCGGCCCCGAACACTTTGACGGAGCCGGTGTGGGACACGGTGAAAAGGGACTTGTCGAGAATTGTGAGTAATTTGAAGCTGGTGGTGTTTCCAAATCCTTTTAGGGAAGATCCTGGTAAGGCTTTGAGGGATTGGGATCTTTGGGGACCCTTTTTCTTCATTGTTTTTCTGGGTCTCACCTTATCCTGGTCAGCTTCGGTCAAGAAGGTAAGGAATTGGAACACACTTTAGTAGATCCCTGTATATGTGCGTGCGTGCGTGTGTGTGATTGGAACTAAAAATGCTTTCATTTTTGTTTTGGGTCATCTTGTTAACTAGCTAGTGCTTTCTGGGTATACATGTTTGATAGAACACTGTAGGAATGGAAGAACATAACAATTCAATTAACAGCCAAGAAAATGATTTCATTCTGTTATGAACCCGTGTGTAGAACTTGGCTCTGGCTTCGAAGGGAAGGGTAACATTCCACCATGCTTCCATAGACTGACCCAACGGTAGCAATTTCTCTTTTAGCAGTTCCACTCACCTATCACTATTCAATGAGATAAGACTATGCCTATATATAATTCCAAGTCATTTTAATTCAGCCTATAGGTCACCCCTTCCGTGTCTCGACTACAGAGAGCCACAGTTCACAGTATGATCGATCCCATACTTGACGTGGTGGCTAGCTTTGATACCAATTGTTATGAACTAATGGATAGAACTTGTCCCTGAAAACCGGCTTGTAGGGGAAGGGTGCCTAAGAGTTCATATACACACTTCTAATCTTACTTTTAACTGATCTGGTATCATAACACATTGTTCAATCCACTTTACCCAGCTGATCTACACTTACATAATACAGAGAGGTTGAATAACTTCTTAGAGTGTGGGGTGGCAACTTTGGATGCTCTTTTAGGTGTAACAAACATCTTCAACAACACCACAAAGTAACTAACTGGTATTTTGGTTGAGCTCCGGAGCTATGCTTTCAATCACAACAAATTACTGGGCTTTGTGGGCTCAAAAAAGATTATAATGTGTGTGTGTTTTGGAAGGAGAACCCAGAAAAATCTATGTACATAGAGTGACTGATCCAGNGAAAATCTCATCAACTCCGGCCCATCAACGGTCCTCCCGGCCCGCCCACCAAGCCCACCAAGAGCTCAGATCCCCATCTCCTCCTCTCCTTTTATCCCTTCCAATCTCCCCCTACCACCACCCACTCAAAAATCGCCACCTGTGCCTTCTGTCACGGCCCCACCGCCTCCATTGCCTACAGCCCGTAATGGGTCTTCGAATATTGGTTCAACGGGCTTTGGCCCGGCCCCGAACACTTTGACGGAGCCGGTGTGGGACACGGTGAAAAGGGACTTGTCGAGAATTGTGAGTAATTTGAAGCTGGTGGTGTTTCCAAATCCTTTTAGGGAAGATCCTGGTAAGGCTTTGAGGGATTGGGATCTTTGGGGACCCTTTTTCTTCATTGTTTTTCTGGGTCTCACCTTATCCTGGTCAGCTTCGGTCAAGAAGGTAAGGAATTGGAACACACTTTAGTAGATCCCTGTATATGTGCGTGCGTGCGTGTGTGTGATTGGAACTAAAAATGCTTTCATTTTTGTTTTGGGTCATCTTGTTAACTAGCTAGTGCTTTCTGGGTATACATGTTTGATAGAACACTGTAGGAATGGAAGAACATAACAATTCAATTAACAGCCAAGAAAATGATTTCATTCTGTTATGAACCCGTGTGTAGAACTTGGCTCTGGCTTCGAAGGGAAGGGTAACATTCCACCATGCTTCCATAGACTGACCCAACGGTAGCAATTTCTCTTTTAGCAGTTCCACTCACCTATCACTATTCAATGAGATAAGACTATGCCTATATATAATTCCAAGTCATTTTAATTCAGCCTATAGGTCACCCCTTCCGTGTCTCGACTACAGAGAGCCACAGTTCACAGTATGATCGATCCCATACTTGACGTGGTGGCTAGCTTTGATACCAATTGTTATGAACTAATGGATAGAACTTGTCCCTGAAAACCGGCTTGTAGGGGAAGGGTGCCTAAGAGTTCATATACACACTTCTAATCTTACTTTTAACTGATCTGGTATCATAACACATTGTTCAATCCACTTTACCCAGCTGATCTACACTTACATAATACAGAGAGGTTGAATAACTTCTTAGAGTGTGGGGTGGCAACTTTGGATGCTCTTTTAGGTGTAACAAACATCTTCAACAACACCACAAAGTAACTAACTGGTATTTTGGTTGAGCTCCGGAGCTATGCTTTCAATCACAACAAATTACTGGGCTTTGTGGGCTCAAAAAAGATTATAATGTGTGTGTGTTTTGGAAGGAGAACCCAGAAAAATCTATGTACATAGAGTGACTGATCCAGGATCTGGGTTGGGAAAGGGGGGGGGGGGGGGGGGGAACTTATTCCAATAGGTTTATTTGGGGGGATGGGTGGTTAGCAAAATAGACAAAGCTTGGGGCAAACTCTTTAAATTGTAAGTACTACTTTATAAAGTCAACATCAAATTAAGGGTAATGCAATCTATAAGATGCTTAAGAAAACACAAATTTAAAGATGTGAAAAATAATGAAATTGACCTATCATTAAGATAAAGATCCATATGGAACCTTGCATTATTATATTTTGATTATTATTTTAAGTTAGCTCGAGTCAATTTGCTAGTATTAGTAGTTTATATATCCTTTTAATAGTTTTTATACTCAAGGGCATTTTTGTTATTTCTATAATTTCTGAAACGACTCTTAGTATTTTGGGTCAAATTCTAATATTGACTATGCTAGAATTTGGAGTCCTAGTTTTAGTTTGTTTTAGTCTTTTAATTTTTATTGATAAAGAGATTTTGGACTTCTAGAGACTTTGGAATTTTAATCTTTTGGAATTAAGAATACTTACAACTCTATGTAGTTGGTGATTTTTTTAATAAAATAGAGGGAGAGATATCTCAGAAATTTCAGCAATTATATGCTTCTTGAATTGTGTGATGCAATTCTAACCCTATGCCAAAGGAAGCTTAGGAGTGATTCCTAGCCTATTTTACTATCCACGTTATTATTCACATCCCCAAAATCTCCCATATTTTGATTTTACACAGTTTTCCTACATCAAAGGGACTTTTCAAACCTTAGGGATGGTTGCCCCCTCCACGGCCCCACTTGATTCGTTGGTGTATGCATATGTTGGTGTATATGCCTGTATTTTTGTCTTCTTTCAGTATGTGTGTATTTCACCGTGTAAATATGAAATATTTGCTTGTATTTCATCGTGTATTTGTTAATTAGTTAGCATCTTATGATCCAGTGATTTATAGAGATCGATAGTGAAGTGGGTTGATGAAATTTTGTGCTTCAATTACTTGGTAATATTTTGTGATATCGGAGTACTATAATTACTTTTGTGTTGTATTGTACTTGAAATGCTTGCTTGCTTCTTGTGTTTGTTTTCTAAGTACCTTTGGTAGATCTTGTTTGATATAGACTGATGTTGATTGAATAACATTAGCTAATGATTAGTGAATTTGATTGATCAAATTTTGTTGTTTTAAGAATTAGGACGATTACTTCATATTTTGACACTGGCATATTAAGTGGTATTTTGGATTGTGTTTTAACATTGATTGGTTTTACTTTTTGCTTTGATTTTTCTGTAACATGAATTCTAGAAGTTAAAAATTAATGTTTAAGCAATGCAATTAACATTCTTAAAGAAGACTAAGTGGACATGATTTAAAGAATTAGTCAATGTAGATTCGACTCGGTGTCAATTGACAATAAACAAATAAGGGGTCAAATTATCATGGAAGTGAATTTTTTTAAAAAAACTTGTTAACGTCGTGTGGATTGACAATGAGTGGTTTCAGATTATTAAATGGAACAATTTGGGTGCTTCTACTGTGTGTTCAATAGAGGATGTATCTTCTGGCTGAGGAAAGCCATTGATGATTCTGTGTACCATAAAAAAAGTGAGTTCCTTAAGAAATATAGAGATGCAAGGTTTTGCATATGAGTTGAAATGGAGTCGAGTAGATATTGCATTTTTTTTAAGAGTCAATAAAGTTAACAAATAACGGTAGAATGATGGGATTAATCATTCCTAAAGCTTCAGAAGGAAACAGATGGATTGAGTTTGGAAGGTTAATGGGTTCTTCAATTGCTAAGGAAAGTACAAGAAATTTAGGCAAGAACAGGGGATGGAATTCAAAGAATGGTATTGAAGGCAGAAACAAGCAGGAGTGTGCATCAGATGGAGGTAACTGAAGCTCAGACGGAGGTAACCGGAGCTTATTTGAGTGATGAGATGATTCTCCTAGAAGAGAGGAAAGATAAAAGAATGCAGTTGTGTGCTGCAGAGAAAACTTGTTTCATCTCTCGAGTATGATAAGAAGAGAAATGTCAAAAGCCCTAGAGTTTGAAGTTCCAATTAGATTAGTCAATATTCTTCTGCAAAAGTATCAATAAGGTATAGGAAGTATACAAGAATGAAAATTATATTTCTCAAGGTTCTTTGAGAGTGAAACTACATAGGTGGAAGCTGGAATCCAATGCGACGAGAAGCAAAGTATAGTTTATGGCCTGATGGATTGCAGTTGAAGCTCTTCTATTTCTTTTGTGGCAATTGCAGGTCTTTAAAAAGATTAGGGATTTTGTGGGGGGCTTGTCGCTGTTGATCTTGAAACTTTGGATCATCGAAATTTAGTTCAAGTGAGAATACGAGATGAAGGAAAGGGCTTAAAAGGGGTACATGGCACATAGGGATAGGAGTTGGTATGGAGAAGAAATACACATTTCTTTAGTCAATCAGAAAGGGACTGTTACCATGCTTATTGATGAGGCAGTTAATGCATTAAACCGTCTATAGTCATGAGAAGATTTGAATTTGAAAAAGGGTCATAATGTTGGTAATGCAACAATTAAGGGTATTAATGAGACACTAATCGGTGGGAGTTGTAGGTAGGTTAAGCTGTTGGGATGGGAAGAGATAGTTTATAAAGGAAAGGGCCAATATTAGGAAGAGGTTGACAAGTCCAAAAGAAAATGGGCCCTGGTTTGCAAAGAAGAGACGGGACCTTTTCTATAGGGATTTGGTCTAGATAAGAATAAAAAGATAGAAGGTTGGGATTTTTAATCCAAAGCCAACTGAATTCTTTAGGAAATGTCTGGGGTTGCCTCAAACCATTGCTACATGGATCGTGGGTCGTTTTGGTTCGTGGTGCGGTAGGGTAGACTTAATTGGCATGCTAATTTGGGTCACGATTCTATTTGATCTCTTATCTAGACCATTTTTACAATTATAAGAAATTATAAAACAATGCATCTAGACACACTTAGTGAGTTAATATCTACATTTGTGATGATTTTCATTATTATTTCAATAATATATGCATCCAAACATAATTCATATATATTTTGTGTTTATCATTAGTTTTGGGTATTTTATTTTGTATTATCCTCATTACATATGCATAAACAAATTTATGGAAGTAAATAAGATTTTCGGCCTTAAAGAGTCCAAATTGAATAATAGGAATCAGTTACGTGGTAGAAGAAAAGTAAATAGGAAATGTAAAAAGACCAAATAAAAGAAGGAAACATGAATATGGTCCCAAGAAAAAAAAGTCATGGATCATGAAATGAATATGGGCCCAATGTGAAAGGGCAGTCACAACTATTTCCACCTAGCTTCTAGAAGTCTGTGGCACTGCTAGGTTTGCCAAAAAAAAAACAACAACGACTCTCTCCATGCGTAAAATCGAATGAATCGTCCCTAATGCATACAAGTTGGAAGCCAAAGCAGTTTTCTTTTATCTTATCTCGTTGTGGACTCAAAGCAGTGGAGCTCAGACAAGGCGATGATGAGGAGCAGATCAAACTTGAAAATCTTCCAAATGAATGACTATGTTTTCCACTTTGACACTTTTCTTCTGAGTTTTTCTCTAAATTTGTTTTCATTTTGTCCCTTTGGAAGATGGCATCTTAGAGTTACATCTCTTGCTTTGTTTTTGTTTGTTTGATTTCGGGTCGGATATTCTCACAATCGATGTCACAAACGCACCTCATTTGGGGTCGTGCAACTCAGATCGTGGGTTGTAGGAAACATGCACGATCTTGGTAACCCAGGTTTGAATCCATTTCTTGATTTGCATTTGCTTTATAAAGATGGAGTAGCTTGAGCCAATGCTAGGGCAAATCGAATTGAGAGATTGTGTGAATAGGAGATGATGATTCATGTGGATGATGGGGCTTGTTGACCTAGGAGAAGCTTTGAGGAAACTAGTAAGGAAAACAAGATTGCCATAGCGAGTAAAAGGGATGATAGGTTTAGTCAAAGTGATAGAGGAGGCTTATTTGGAGGAGTGAAAATAGGACGTGATGAATTCAATCTTGAAGGTTTATGCTCAGATGATGAGGATCAGAGACGTACAATGTTGGAGGTGCAAGAATAGTTGTTTGATATAAATGAAGTACTTGGTAATTCATATGGGCGTAATGACACTAATTATATTTCAAAGGATGATTTTGATCGAAGGGAGAGTGGGACTGAGGCAAGTTTTGTTGTTTTATGCTATTATGATGTGGGAAGACTATTTCAATATGAGGGGCATAATTGCGACGTAGTTTTGGAGAAGAAAATTGAAAGAATGGAGGCATCAGGTCTTATTCACTTTTGTTTTGATGACTAGGTGAACACACAAGGCAAGGTGGATATTTCTTATGGATGTTTGTAGTATTTCCTTTCCCTTTATGGGATTTGTGGAGAAAGTAGCTTATTCGTTCGTTTTTATTAGGAGATTAATTTGGAATTTTTTTTTGTTGGAGATATAGCAGTTTAGTTTATTAGGGTTTATTAAGTTTTTTCTTTTTTACTTTTTTATCCTTATTGTAATTTTCATTGGTTATATATACGGGAGCTTTGCACTTAGTTTATATCCCTTTTTTCTCTCTTCTAAATATTTTAAGTTGGTATCAGAGCCAAACCCTAACCCTAACCTAACCCTAGCCTCCACCAAGACTGCCTCATCGACAAACTACCTTCTGGCAAAAACAGTTACTGTCCATCGACAAAACCACCAATCCAAAGCACTGCCCACCAACCCAGCCACTACCAAAACCACCCTGCCATCAGCCGCTCAATCAAACTGTCGACAAACCTACGACAACCTGCTGCATCCCACCGACTGCCCCATACCAAAACCATCTACACCGACTGTCCCATACCAAAACTAACCATTGTCCAGGCCACATCGACAGCCTGCTGCATCCCACCGACTGCCCCATTCCAAAATCAATCACTGCCCAGGCCACATCGACAGCCTGTTGCATCCCTGCTGCACCCTTATTGCACCGAAACATCATTATCTCCAGCTGGGTCACTGTCCAGCCTAAACCCAATATACCACAGACTAGTCTACAGCCCAAACCAGCCCATTGCTGGGTCACTTACCACAAACTAGCCTATTCATCAGCCCACTGTTGGGTCGCGATTTTTGTGGATTTGTCCTTCGTATTCTTCATCACAGTGTTGCTAGACTATAGTATTTAGGACTTTTTTGAGAGGGGTTGAATTCTCTTCTTTGTTGATATGCTCATGATGCAGTAGATCATTTATTTATATTTATTTGATGTTTGGGCACCGTGACCTGATTATTTGGGAGCTTTCTGAATCTTCTTTATCTGTCGCTACTGTTCGACAGGAGGTATATTGTTCTTCCTTATTTTATTTCTCTATTTATCTTAGAGTTGTTTGTCTATCACGAGTGCCCTAGTATTATTGATGATATGACTACTACTGAGGGAGTTGAGACCCCTACCGTTGAGACATCTGTTAGTATTTCCATCGGGTATAGGGGTTGATTGCGCTCGGCCCAACGCCGTCAGGGTACCCCACATCAACGTAGATATGTGAATTCTTGTCAGTGTGATTATTGTAGCCGACTACGACATCTTAGGGCTACTTGTTGAAAGCTCCATCCAGAGCTTAAGCCTCTTCATCGCAGCCATACTGCTGCCATTGTTAAGGCACCACCACCTACAGTCATTGCTCCTGCTACTGCTCCTCCTTGGCAGAGTGATATGGATGCTATCACTTTTCACTTGGATATACTTATGTGAGCCTTGACTTCTCAAGGTTCGACTACTATTGCTGCCATTACTACAGGTATACCTTGTGTCTTTCATATTTGCGCCAGTCCGTCTTCTCTTTGGATGCTAGACTCGGGTGCTAATGGTCATATGACAGGTGAGGCCCATCATTTCAACTCTTTTGACGAGCAGTTACATACTCAAGTTCAGTTAACAGATGATACACATGCCCTTATTGTTAGTTGGAGTACAGTCCGCCTCCCAGATGGTTTTACATTACGTTCGGTGTTTCATGCGCCAAAGCTGGCCATAAATCTATTATTTGTACATCAGTTAGTCAGAGATTTTCACTGTGCTGTTGTGTTCTTATCTGATTCGTGTTATTTGCAGGACCTGAGTACCAGGAGGTTTATTATCAGCGGACATGAGAGAGATGAATTGTGTTATTTAGGCGATCCACCTCCGGTTTCATCATTTTCTTCACCTCCACCTCCATCACATACTGTCTTTATCTGTTCCTACCTTACATACTTGTTATGATTTTTCATCACAAACTATTCAGTTGTAGCATGACCGTTTTGGGCATACAAATTTTAAATATTTATGTATGTTATTTTCTACTTTGAGCAAAACTTGTGTTAGTGGTAAACTTGACTATGTTATATGTTCCCTATTAAAATATGTTCGGACCAGTTATATTCCTTGCTTGCACCAGTCACTCAAACCATTTGACCTAATACACTCAGATATTTGGGGACCCTCTCCTGTTATTGCTCTGTTAGGTGCCCGATACTATGTGACATTTATAGATGACCATACTCGTCGTACTTGAGTCTACCTTTTGCATCAGAAGTCTGATGTACTCCCTGTCATCACTCAATATCTTCAGATAATTAAGACACAGTTCGATGCCATTGTTCGTGCTCTTCGTTCGGATAATGCCAAAGAATATATGTCTGATGCCTTAGTATTTCACCTTTCCTTTAAGGGTACCCTTCAGCAACTCAGTTGTCCTTATACTCTTGAGCAAAATGGAGTTGCTAAAAGGAAATATAGGAGTCTGATAGGGATGGTAAGTTGTATGCTTAGAGGTATGGGGATACCAAAATCTTATTGATATTTTACTGTTTTGACTTTTACTTTTTTGTGCAATCGTACACCGAGTCGTGTTCTTCAGCATAGGGTTCCCTTACAGGTCTTATTCCCTGAACAGACACTTTTCGGTCCCCTTTCGTGTTTTTGGCCGCACATGTTTTGTTGAGGATCGGTCTCCTACGCGTCATAAGCTTGATGATAAAGCGATTTGTTGTGTCTTTATTGGCTATTGTCATCAGTCTAAATGGGTATTGGTGTTATGATCCTGTCAGGCGACGTATGTATCACAGTCTAGATGTTATCTTCCTTGAGTATATTCCTTATTTTTCTTTCAGTTTTGTGTTTGCCCCTCCAGTTGATGATACTCCCTTTGATTTTTCATTACCACCGAAGTTAGAGTCATTAGTTACTATCACTACAGAGTCACTAGTCTCTCTTCCTTTGCAGGTTTATGTTCGTCGTCCTCGCTCTCATTCCCCTGCTGATGTCCCCTCTATCTCAGGCGATGTAGGTAATACTTCTTAGTTCGTTGAGCATATTGATACACCTGTTGTTAGTACTGATGAGATTGCAGGTATTGAGTCAGTTGTTTTACTTGATGAGACATTATCAGTGGAGGACGATGATTTAGGGCGTCGTTATCTGTGGCGTGTCGTCGTTCAGTTGTTCGTTATGGTTGGATTGTCAAAATTTTATATCCGATCTCTGCTTATATTTTTTATGGTGATCTGTTTCCTATATTTCGAGCTTATAGTATGGCTTTATCAGATACGCCGGTTCCTCGCTCTGTTTCAGAGGCTATGCCGGAGCCCCAGTGGGTTCTTGCCATGTAGATAGAGATGGACGCTCTTCAACGTAATCATACGTGGGATCTTATCTCTTTATCTTAAGGGGTGAAGTCTGTTGGCTGTCGCTGGGTTTACACCCTGAAGTTTTTTGTGGATGGTACTATTGATTGTCACAAGGCTAGGCTTGTGGTGAAGGGCTTTACTCAGGTACCAGGTCGTGATTCTGGTGCTACCTTTGCCCCCGTGGCAAAATTGATTACTATTTAACTGAGTATTTCTTTGCCTGTGGAATACTCTTGACCTCTTCATCAGTTAGATGTAAAGAATGCATTTCTTCACGATGATCTGGACGAGATTATTTATATGGATGCAACACCGGGCTTTCGTGGTGAGGGGGAGTATGCTGGAACGGTTTGTCGACTGCGTAAGTCTTTTTATGGACTGAAACAGTCACCACGAGCCTAGTTCTCTCATTTTAGTGATGTTGTACGTTTAGGGTTCACCAGATGTCATTCTGATCAGACCTACTTTATTCGACGGAATATTTTCGGACAGTGTGTCATCCTTTTGATATATGTTGATGATATTATTATTACTGGAGATGATGTTTCTGGGACTGCGCAGGTTAAGGTAGACCTTGGGAAGGCCTTTGATGTGAAGGATCTTGAATTTTTGCGATACTTTCTTGAGATTGAGGTTGTCCGTAGCAACCGAGGTTTGTTCTTTCTCCGAGAAAATATATTCTGGATCTTCTCTCAGATATTGGGATGCTGGGGTGCAAACCGGGATCATCACCCATGATTTCAAACTTGAAACTTACTGTTGAAGGTAAAGAGTTGAGAGATTCGACTGTCTATTAGAGGTTGGTAGGTAGACTTATCTATCTAGCCAACACTAGGCTAGACATTTCATTCGCTGTCAGCCGAGTTAGTCAGTTCATGCTCAGACCATGTCAGCCTCATCTTGATGCAGTTTATCATATTCTTCAGTACCTCAAGTCTTGTCTTGGACTTGAGTTGTTCTATGCATTAGGATCTCAGATTGGCTCTTTAGCCTGTTATTCAGATTTAGATTATGGGGGAGCATGTGATGGTCGATCTACTACGGGCTTTTGTGCTTTTTGAGGGACTCATCTTATCTCTTAGAAGAGCAAAAAGCAGTCAATTGTCTCTCGCTCGTCATCCGTGACAGAGTATTGGGCACTGACACTTGGGCACATGTGAGATTATCTGATTACGATCGATTCTTGGTGAGTTGAGACTTCCAGTGACTTCTTCATCTAAATTATATTGTGATAATCGATCTGCTATTCAGCTCACTTCTAACTTTGTATTACACGAGAGGACGAAGCATATAGAGATCGATGTTCACTTTCTTCGGAAGAAGGTTAGCAATGGTATTGTCACTTTATCGTTTGTGGGGACTAGTGATCAGGTTGCGGATGTTTTCACTAAACCTGTTACTCCATCCATTCTTCGGGA